CCATTTGAGTTCTCATTAGCACAACTCATTCCATAAAATTAAGTGCTATGGCCTCAAGATACCCTGTGGAGGATTAAAGGAATTGAAGCAACACACATCTTCCCAAGATACTGTTGAAGTCCAGTCTGAGGTTGCTTTAATGTGGTTTCCACCTCACTCCCCAGAGGACAACGTATTCCTGGTTATTAAAAGCCAACCTAACCCATCCCCTTCTACATTTGCACCATCATGTACCAACGCCTCAGGAGCACATGGGATTAATTATCCTAACTCCCGAAGAGGGTGGTTTTTTTGTTTGTTTGTTTTAAGACTTTTGTATCAGCTGCTGAAAACCTGCAAACAAGAAAGCAAGGCATACTACTGGGCTCCTACACTGCTGGTCTCTCAGGTTGGATAGCAGCATTAACAGTTTTGCTCGGCCGTCCTTAGTTTTGTACCAACAAGTATTACTGTTTTTATGGCTTCCTTTACAAGGGTTGGTGGGGGATCCTGGAGATCTCAAAAGCATGTTTGGGGGGAGTGCGTGGGTAGCTCAGTCGGTTGAAATGTCCGACTCTTGGTTTCAGGGTCGTGAGACTGAGCCCCACATCAGGCTCCACAGTTAGAGGAGGGTCTGCTTGGGATTCTCCCCCTCTCTGCCTCCCCATGAACACTCACTAAAATAAAGCAAGGGGCGCCTGGGTGGCTCGGTTAAGGGTCTGCCTTTGGCTCAGGTCATGGTCCCAGGGTCCTGGGATCGAGTCCCACATTGGGCCCCCTGCTCTGTGGTAGGCCTGCTTCTCCCTCTCCCACTCCCCCTGCTTGTGTTCCTGCTGTCAAATAAAATCTTAAAAATAAGGCAAAAATCCATGTGTTTAAGAACTTTAGTTTCCAAAGATTAGACGACTTTGCTTTTGTTCCTTTTCCCCAAACTATACCTAATTCTTTGAAACATGGACTAAATCGGACACTTCCACGTATCCAGGTAGGTTTTTGTAAGATACACTCTGCTGAGAATACATCAAGGCCACAGTTGTAGCTTCGGCACCAAAGAGGGGCAACACAGCATGAAGACAAGGACTGCGTCAGCATAACGTAAGGGATGCTCAACCTTTGTAAATCTGTAGGGTTTTGTTTTTTTTTTTTCTAGAAAACCGGCTCTTTCCCTGAACTTGGCGGGGGGGGGGGGGGGGGGAGAAGATCATCTAAGCAGTTAAGAATTAACTTAAAGACATAAGGGGCTATCATTTCCAGAGATAAAAAATGGCCGTTTTATTGTAATGGAACATTCAGAGGTCAGTTCTAGGAAAGAGCCTACTTTGTTTTTTCACCCAATACTATCTATTTCTCTATAATGCACTCTCCCTGATCAGTTTTACCTAATGAGCTTACTTCCCCCACATCTGTCATTTCACAGTATTTGCATACACTTCCCAAATTTAGAATTAAAAGAAAATTATGCAAAGTGGTGGGAATGATTATTCTATATGAAGGTCTAATAAGTCACAATTTAGTGATTACAGTGGCCATGCACATAAAATGCAAAGAACATGAGTATATGATTCATACAAAGTTATTAGGTAATATTTTCGTCTTTTTAACTCCTGCTTTTTTAAATAGTTGGCTCCTTCAACAGCTGACTTTACTAAATTCAACGAAAACCGTGCAACCACTCACTAGAAACCTACGGACACAGCTAAACTATTAGCACTTTAAGTCCTGTACATCTAAGTGGAGACCTGTAGTCTAAGCCCGTATCTGTAGGAGTGAATGTACTTAACTTCTACCACGGTGGCCATTAGGTTTGTCAGACTCTTCCTACATTCTAATGACCTGTTCACCTGTTTTTTCCTACAGGGTCCCCGGGTTTTCCAAAGGCTCAACAAACTGCCTTTATAGTTTGCCTTATGACGAAACAGTTGTGATTATCTGTGTCACCGTTTTGTAGTTTCAACACTGATCCCACCTTTAACCAAAGATCTAGAGTCATACAGTTTATTGCTGTGGTGTTCGGATGGTGCAAAGGTAACCAAGGTAAATAAGCATCAGGCTTAGGCACTTCACAGCTGAAGTCCTTTTCCCATTAGTGGTTACTTCGTATTTGTATCACATATGAACCCCTGGGTATGTTCGTTCAGGTGGTGTGACCACCGGGTACGAAGCTTTGTCAGTACCCGGGTCCAGCCATCAGTAGTCACAGGGCCTAACGGCCTTATTTTCCAGCGAAAAGCAAAGGCATGTTTTAGTCAACTGAGTTTAATGCTACGAAGCTTTCACAAATAACTCCTGGCTAAAACCCCTAACTTGATTTGTGGGCCTTCTAGCCAAGAAAGGGAAAAAAAAACAAAAAAAAAACCCAAAACCACAATGGGGCTCAGCTCTAGTTCACGGAAACTCACCTGCCCTTAACAGAGAGCTAAGACAGTCAAGGTAAGGCTCTTCTGTCATTTATAGAATGAAGACGCTTTTAGATTTCAATTTGAGAGTTTCTAAAATTCTCAAACTTTTGAGTAAGCAACAATATGCATTTCAACAACATTTAAGCCTTTAAATCCGTTTACTAAGGGTGCCTCAGTCATTAAGCACCTGCCTTCAGCTCGGGTCATGATCCCAGGGTCCTGGGATCAAGCCCCACATCAGGCTCCCTGTTCAGGCAGGAAGCCTGCTTCTCCCTCTCCCTCTGCTTGTGTTCCCCCTGTGTCTGTCAAATAAAATCTTTAAAATCCTTTTACTAGATACCTAAACTTGAAGATACAGAAAAATATATGATGAATTAGTGATTTTGCAATTACGCCATTATTTTTATATAACCCAACTGTATAATTCAAGACTTAAAGTTTTTGGCATTAATTGACTTGTGCAAATTCACAAGAATATGAATCCCCACTTCACTGTCCTAGGAGGAAACCTACTGCCAAGAAATGCTCCAGCTCTCTTTAGTAAGCATATTAAAAAAAAAAAAAAAAAAAAAAAATGGAGCCTTTTGCATTAGGCAAATACACTTAGGCTGTTATATGGCCTCGCCCTTAATAAAATTCACAAAAGTTAATCTGACCGTATGCAATTCTCTCAACATTTACAGAATTGAAGTCTCCAAGCATTCCAAACATTTTTGCAGAGATCAGATGATGAGACGCAGGGTTTTGTTCGATTTGGTAACACCCGGATAAGGTTATAACAATATAGTTTCCTTAGTATTATGAATGTACCTGTTCGAAAGTTGAAGTTCTGTAGCAACTTTTTAAATGAGTCAGATCTGCAGCTATGAAAAAAATGAGTTTCAACAAAATGTGAAGTTAGCACAGTATCAGCTACCAGTGTCTTTTTAAAGAGTCCGAACAGAGATACCGTTAGTTTAACCATACATTTTACTATGTTATGTTAATCACCATACATTACATTAGTTTGATACATTTTTATACTTTAATACACTAAAAATAAGCTTAAATGACGTATGAATGATCAACGTGATGACTGGATGGCATTCAGAAGCATTTTATAGAACCACATAGAACACAGGCAAAAGTTACCTACACTTAGTTAAGGACTACTGAAGTTGAAAGCTGCTGGACCTATGGGAGTGGAGAGGCAACAGGTAACTGCGAATACAAACAATGAGGAAGTACTTACCTATGAGTGGGATGGAAGGTACACAAGAACTCCATGGGGTGCTCACAACCGACCTGAGGAATGGTAGCTTCAATCGTGCCAATTGGTTTGAGATTAGGAAATGGTGCTTAGATCTATTGCTCTCCTCCAAAATGAGGAATTTGCCTAGAGGGTACCAACATCTTTTCCAGCTCTAGCCTTGTGACTGAATTACCTACAGGTTAGGTTCTGGAAGGATCTGTAATCAGGTGACAGCTGTGGAGAATCCTCCCGTAAATACTCCCAGAGAATGAAGGGTTCAAAACAGCTTTCTTGGTTTAGGTGTGTTTTTAAAGGCTGGATAAAGGAGGGTGGGAGGGTGGCAGGAAGACTGCCTTTAGTGGAAGATGTAGTGGGGTTTCAGACAGCAGTTCAAAAGCTTTCCAAATTTTTAAGAAATGCCTCACATACTTAATACCTCAGAAAACACCTATGCATCTAAATATGCCTTGGGCAAATGACAAGCTCTCTGGGTCTCCAGGTATTGTCCAACTAAGGAGATAGATTTCTCCTGAACCTTTAGGCTCATCATTCTATTAGAAATATTTACTAGACATGTTTTATTTGGAACATTTACCCGATTAGGGCAATTTGAGTCATGACTTTCATCTGTTACGGTACATTAGACCCATGGAATCTGGTTTTAAAACTAAGGTCGGAAAATATTACACCTGGAACTCATCACTTTGGGATACAAAAAAAGCATTCCTTATTAAGTGGCAATGTGCTACTCCTTTGTTTTTCATCAATAGTGCGTTTCATTAGGCCTGCCCAGACCAGGAATTACCAACCTACAGCAACTCTTCAAAACTGCGTACCCTTTCCAACGTTTGGATTTGAAGTCCTAGTTTTACAGCAGTATAGGAAGCTTAACTTTTTTTATTCACTGGGGAAAATCTCTACCCCTTCGCCCTAGTGAAGGCTTCTCTAGCTAACAGAAGTGTCCAGATTCCACCTGCTTCGCCTAACTACAGTCATTTACACCCACAGCAAAGTCCAGCTCCAGCTGAACTGGGTGGACAGGAATGCACCACTGCTGTTAGAAAATTAAGTTGATGGGAGTTGCGTTCTAACCTGGCCGGAGCGGAGCCCCACCGGGTGCAACCACCGCACAGCCCACGTACCGGTTAGTCTCACGGACGCCGAGCTGACAGCTTCTGCCAACGAGAAGGGGGGGCTGGGGGAGGACGCGGCCTCTGCAGCCCGATACCCAGCCAGCTAAAGCACCGTCTTCCCTTGAACCTCGAAGACCAACAAAAATAGTACCCGCGTTGAACAAGGGCAGAGGGCAAGCGACCCAGAGCTCTCCCAGGAGGAAACTCCGGAGAGGAGGAAGTGGCGGCCGGAGGCGGCGGGTCCTGCGTGCAACTCACCTTCTGCTGCCTCCGGGCCATGTCGGTGGGCTGCTTAGCGTTGAAGGGGTACGCGATGCACCTCACCACGAAGACGTAGAGCTGCAGGCGGATCCTCCGCTCCTGCTCCTCATCCCGTTGCCGCGCGGGCTCCTCTCGCCCCTCGCTGAGCACCGAGGGGCTTGGGCTCACTGGTCTGGCCGCGCTGCCGCCGCCCGCGCGCCCCGGCGCGTCCCGCCGCCCTTCGCGAGCCGGGGCCGGTGGCGCTCGCCGCGAGCCGCCGGCCGCCACCAGCACATCGCGGCTCTCCGCTTCCAATGCTTCGTCCGATTCCTCTTCACTGGAAGACGGGTCCAGCATGGTGCTCGGGGCGCCCCGCCGCTCGGCCTGCGGCCCCCAGGCGCCTCACCCACGGCAGCTGCGCCCGCCGGTCTGAGAAAGCCTCGCGGCCGGCAGCAGCGGTCGCAGAACGAAAGGGAAACTGGCCAGAGCTTTCCGGACACGTCGAGTTGGGACCGGAATGTTTCCTACCACCGGGGCGAAGGGGGCGGGCAGGAGCCGGGAGAAGAGGGGGAGCCGCCGGGATTAAATAGGCGGAGTTAGCGTTGGAGGTGAACGTGAGCGCCTCGAGAACTGCTCGGCCGGCCCGGGGCCCGCCACCGCCGTCGTCCTACAACGCCCGCTGGGCGGAGGCGGGGCGGCCAGAGCGCCCGGGCGCAGGTGGGGAACCTGTGGCTCCCACAACGAGCAACACGTGGAATAAAATGTTGAGCGGGCGCGGGGTCGCCGAGTGCGCGTGCGCGCGCCGCAGCTACCGCCGGGGCCCGGGTGCCGGGTACCGGGGCGCGCAGTTTGCAAAGGCAGGGAAGGGCCGGACGTGGTGGCTCGGAGTGCGCACACCCGGGCTTGCTTGACTGCCTGGACCCCCACCACGCGTCCTTTTTCTCCCACAAGATTCCCGAGGAGCAGGAGGACGGGGGCCAGAAAGCTGCCCCCATTCGCCCCACCCCCACCCCCAGGTGAGGAGAGCGGCCGGAACACCGTTCAGCCCCGAACCTGATGCCCAGGCTTGAACCCAAGTGCGTGAAAGTGGGGCCTGAGCCGCTCACCTTAAAATAACGTTGGGAAGAGACTTTGAAAAGTCTCTCGCTCTGCTCTGCTGCTGTTTGACGCTCTTGCTGAGAGTCCAAATCACAAAGTCAGAGGAACGTTCCTGACAAGAGGGAAAAAAAGAAAACAAACACGCGAGGCTTCCTTTTTAAACTGTTTTTATTCCCGCAGACGCATGAACAAGATAGAATTTGTATTTGCGAAACGGCACTCAGGTTCAGCTCACACACAGCTGGATTATTTTATAGGTTGGGATGCGGTTGACTCAAAACAGGTTGTGTAGGGTAGACATATATCCAACAAATATTTGAGCACACGCCCGGTGTCCAGCCCTGTTAGCGTTTGGCCGAGCCCACGGAGCACACAAACACTTGCTCATTGTTGGTTCTGGCCTCAAGGGGGCGTCTCGAGGCTGCACCTGAAGCCTGTCTTATCTGCACAGATTTTTCAGTCCCAATGCCGGAACCACCTGGGAGTTTGCTCTGGTGACTGTGCTTCTGATGTTCTTAATCCGGAGGAGAGGGGGAAATAGAAAATATAGTGCATTCAACACAAGGTGCGGTGTGCTGTAGGCAAGCTAGCGGAGGGATGCTGAAGCTCAGGGGAAATATCACCAGGCAGGTGACTACCGGCTCGGAGCTTGTCTACTCTGTGGCCAAAAAGCAGTCTTTTCAAGCCGCTTCCACGGTTAGCTACACAAGAGAGAAGCTTTCCTTCTGCATTTACTGACATTCTCCCTAGATGGGGTAAAAAGACAAGGAGATATTTACTCCTAGGGAATCTTGCCTATTTATCAATCCTTAATGGAAGCCCACAGTGATAAAATGTTCATTGAGGGCATTACTGCTGGCGGATTTCCAACTGCCAAGGAAGAGGAAATCTCAGAAACTGGTTTAAAGACGATGTTTTATGCTTGGCAAGGTAAATAATAAATGGCAAGCCTACTCATTTAAGTCATGGTATCTACTGCTTATATACATAGCAAATTACATTTGCAAAGTTTTGTAAATGTGCTTATCTAATATGACCAAAGTAACCAACGGTTAACAGGTGATGATGATGGTGATGATGACAGTTACGTTTTATGGGCTTTGTAGCCATGACTGCACTAAGCCCTTTACATACATAATGTCATTCATTTTTAGTTCCTTTGTACAGATAAGGAACCTGAGACTTAGAGAATCCTCTTTCCTACACAACTAACTGTGAGAACAAAGACTCAAGATAGTCCTTTCTAGTTCCAAATGTGGCTTTTTCTATTGTAATCTGACTGATTATAAATCAGTGTATTAAGTGTATTATTTTTTAAACTGATAACTAAGAGTTTAATTCCTAGCAACATAAAAGTGTAATTTAAATATAGCAGCTTTATTGCCCTTATTTTTCTTGCCAAGGAAAGGTATATTTTTGTTTCCTTTTTTAATTAGCTAATACTACTTGGTGTGATAGCTTATTATCCTCTTCCTACCAAAAATAGTTATCAAATTAAAGCTTCTCCAGGCCTTGGGGGCCCCACTGGAAAACATCTAATAATTTTTAGAATAAGATCTACAGTATTTTCTCTATGAAGATGAAAATGGTTTAAGGGGCATAAATTAAAGAAATATCCAAAAGACAGCAAAGAGTGTGTTTAAGTAATTAAACATACATTGCTTAAGAAACTAACATATGTTAAAACGATGCTAGGTATATTTAGAAGAACAAGATACAGTCTTGGACCTTAAATTTGTAGATTAAAAAATGACAAATGAAAAAATAACTTATTTTAAAAAAGAGAAAATAAATATTGATATTGCAGTCTGATGATTGTTCCAATAACCCCAAAGATAATGGTAATACAGAGAACTACTTCATGCAGGACAGAGTAAGGGAAGGATGCTTGACATGTGTCTTGAAGAATGATTCAGAGCTATTGGGGTGAGGGCACTGGAAGCAGGAGGAACCACGTTTACAAAGGGATGAAATTGTTTGTCATATTTGGAGAATTGCAAGTAAACTGGCATGCCTGAAGTGAAGAATATATATGAAGATGGAGGAGGTGAGGCTAGAGAACAGTCAGAGACAAATTCAGCATTGAGCAGGACAGTGGGCAGGCATCCTGGTTTTGTATGCCATGCTTTGGAATTTAAACCATATCCTGAAGAAAATGGGGCTATACATAAAGGTTTAAGTAAAGTACAATCTAAGGTGATCTGTAACTCCTAAGAGTCAGACTCTGGAGCAAGGTAAGGGCAGTGAAGACAGAAACAAAATACCAGTGAAATTACTAAGAAAATCTGGGGGAGAAACAATGAGGGCTTGAATTTAAACAGGAGAGAAAGGGAGGAGGGAAGCTTAAGAGATGGACAAAGGAATTAACAGAATATGGATGAGGAGCTGAGGAAGAGGGTTAAGGAAAGAATATGATTCTCAGGTTGGGTAATTTGACTGATAATAGATGAAATATAGACTTCTAGAAGAGGTATAGGTTTGGAGAAACATGAAGTTTTGAGGAGCCTATCACAGCGATCCTAGGCTCAGTTGGAGATGCAAAGCTGTTACTCAAACTTGTTATGGGATAAGGGAGTCATCAGCATATTGGTGCTAGTGGAAGCTACAGATACAGATGATTAGGGCCAGAAATCATGTATTCAGAGTGATAAGAAGGGCAAGGATGGGTCTCTGAGGAACCCTCCCTGACTCTCCTCCAATTAAGGGATGGTTCAAAGAAAAGGAGCCTGAAAAGACAACCTGATCATTAAAAATTAATTGTTCTTGATTAACATTTTTTTAAAGATTTTATGTATTTATTTGACAGAGAGAGACACAGCTAGAGAGGGAACACAAGCAGGGGGAGTGGGAGAGGGAGAAACAGGCTTCCCCCAGAGCAGGGAGCCAGATTCGGGGCTCGATCCCAGGACTCTGGGATCATGACCTGAGCCGAAGGCAGATGCTTAACGACTGAGCCACCCAGGCGCCCCTTGATTAACATTTTTAATTTTGTGCTTACATTGATGTTCTTGCCAAATTTCTACCTTAAATATTACCCTTTCAGGGTGCCTGGGTGGCTCAGTCGTTAAGAGTCTGCCTTCAGCTCAGGTCATGATCCCAGGGTCCTGGGATCGAGCCCCACATCAGGTTCCCTGCTCTGCGGGAAGCCTGCTTCTCCCTCTCCCACTCCCCCTGCTTGTGTTCCTTCTCTTGCTGTGTCTCTCTCTGTCAAATAAATGAATAAAATCTTAAAAAAAAAAATATTACCCTTTCAGGTAATTATAATATCAATTGATGCTCCCAGATAATTGAATAAATTATGCCCAACATAAGACTATGATTGGTTTGTACAATTTCATAAATACACATGAGCTTATTCAATGATTCATTTTTAATTTTGTCAAGGTGAATATAAAAACAAATTGAACTTACACTGCTTTTTAATGAAACACCTCTAATGCTATGGAAAGATGGATGCACAGTAATAAAATAGAATATAAGATGTGATTTGGCAATGATATTTAAGGAAACAGGTGTGTGACCTGAATAGCTATAGGGGGTCTGTTTTCTGGTTGAGAATTGATTTGTGCATTTGACCTGAAAGGAAGATATTAACTCTTTCAAGTCACAGATGAAATCATTCTTTCATTAAACAGACATTTTTGTGGGAACCCACTCTAGGCTATGCACTATTCTGAGTAGATAAAAACAATAAAAGTTACTCCCTGAGGCAATGCATACGAAACAGACATAAGCAAAATAAGAAATTATGGTAATATATGCTCCTGTGGTAATAGCGAAAAAATTCACAAAATATCCCTTAAGTGTTTTGGAATTGGGCAGTCTATTATTTTTTGTAGTCTAGTTATCGCTAAAATTATATTACAACAGAGAGGAATCTTTTTCAGGTCAAAAGAAAGACCATTTTTACAAATATGTATGGGAAAACTGTCAACTCACAAACCCAGCTAAGAAAAAGAATATGCATTTACCAGAAGTCAGAGAAGAACAACAGATTTTAAGGTGAGTATTTATGAGGCAATAATTCTCCTGGCAACTTCATTTAAATCCCTTTCCTCTCTTTGCTCAGCTTTCACTTTCTCTCCTCTCCAGTTAGAATTTGAATCGTAGCAGAGAATTGTTCTAGGACTCCACTTTTTACAGATATTGGGTAAAAATGTATGCAAATGATTAGCACAAATGGACCAGTAATTGAGTAGTCCACACTGATACATAGACACATACACATACACATGCAATACAGTCAAAGGCTTGCTTGTGAAGATTAAATAAGATAATGCATGCAAAGTACTAAAAAAAACTCTTTGGTACAGAGTAAGTACTCAGCAAATGCCTAGTATTTTACTGTTATTATAATTGCTTTATTATTTAGCTCACTGCTAACCATAGAACTATAGAAACAAACTGTAGATAGTATTCTATGCATTTTTATTGGGTTTTACATA